GGATCCGAACCCGGGTCGCCAGCAGTGGAGCGCGCTCGCTTAACCACCAAGCCACGGGGCCGGCCCTCTAGTACTTTCTAAAAGTCACTCCACTTCTTGGAGTCTCAGCTTCCTCATCTGAAAAAAAATAGGAATAATGTCTCCTACCCCATAAGATCATTAGAAGGATTTGAGAGTAAGTAGATAGATGGATAGACAGATATTCTCTAGAACAACACCTAGCATTCCAGAAAAAAAAGGCATAGTATTCTCAACTTTATTGGGAACTTTAGTTGGAATGGATCCCACATTTACCAAATTTATTTATTTATTTATTTTTTGATGAATAGTAAATTGATTTATTGGTTAAATTAGCAATTATGGAGCTGCCTGACAACAGTATAAAATAGATAATTCACCAGAAACTGGCTTCTAGATTTCAATTTTAATTACTTTGAAACAACGTAATTTAGTACTAAATGTTTAAACACCCATTTTAATTTCTAAACTGTGAAATCAGCATCATTTATATCTAATCAGCTATACAAAACTCATCCATTTCTCTTTTGAAAAAACATAGTAGAGATCACAAAGAATAACGGGGTGACTACTAATTAAAGGTCATGTTTACTAATCTAGCACCATAATTCCAGTCTTAGGACCTCCCAAGCGGCTGGAAGGAAGAAGGGCAGAGGTGAGGATGCTGGAGAAGCAAGGGTAGTTCTTAATTGTGGCCCCAGTTGTGCTCTAAGGCAACGCGGGGTCCAGCAAAGAAGAAACGCGCTGAGGCTGGAGATGAAAACAAAAGCTTTTGGTTGAGATGGTAAAGGAGGCCCTCAAGAGCAGCAGAATCAGTACATCCAGAAGGCAGTGCTGGAGTCGGCCTCATGAACTAGGGGGTTTCTTCTTGGCATCCAAGTCCTTTTTAAAATCTTCAAGTTTTTTAGCCAGGTTTGGTATGTCATAGTTCTGAGCCAGACACATTCCAACCATGTTGCCAAAAGCAAATCCAAGCAGGAACTGGAGCGTGATGTCGGCCGGGTGGGCGCGAAGGGTGGCTGCGTCCCGCGCGCGGGTCACAGCCTGCCTCCCCGGCGCCAAGGGCGGAACCCGCCTTCGGCCCCCGGGTCACGCCCCACATTTACCAAATTTAGAACCCTAAAGTAGTTCGAGATCTTAAACAAATACTAAGACTAGTATAAAATTACAAAGAAGAAATCTCCAAGGCCACGCTGTTCACTCTTCTACCTATGTAAGGAGATTTTGCTAGAGAATCTTCCCTAAAGTCATATCAGAGGGAAAGCTGACCCTGGAATACTGAAAGGAGAAAGAGAATTTCTGGTCCCCAGACTTCTGAGAAGAGAAGCAAGCTTGGGAGGAGAGGAGTGGGGTGAAGACAGTAGAGGCCTGAGGGTTGCCTATCGATTTAACTCTAAAACAAGAGTGGAAGTCAGATGTAATACAGACATTGGTGGTAACGTAGGAAAATAGATTTATTAAAACTCCACTCACAATGTGTCCATGAATGAAGAAGGAGATGAGAGGGAGGATGATACTAGAATTTCTCTCCCAAGTTGGTAGCATATCTTTAATCAAGTTTTATTCCTTTCCGTCTGTGTGCTGTCGCTGTTTATATACAGGTACTTAGAAATTTTGACTCAATGATCAGTTCAAACTGCACCGAAGAGCTGGAGAATGCTGGCATAGAGGTGCTGAAGTACTCACAGGTATGACCGAGCCCAGGACACGCTTACAGCCTTTAGTTGTCTGTCTGTCGTGAATCATACTTTTTGCTTCTGGCTTCACCCCATTATATTTATAAACACAAACTCTATGTTTACCCCAGTCAATTTACTCCTTTCTAGAGTACTACCAATTCCTTTCTTATCCTAAGAAGATGTTTTTCACATTAGTGTTTTAATGAAGTGAAGGTATAAAAGGTTAGAAATCTGGTAGTTGAGTTTAGTTAGAACTAAAACTTTAATTTTTGTTCTCAAATGCCTTATTGAACACGCTTATTTTTCAGGTTTATATTTATCTTTCAGGAAATATAATGGAATGTGTTTTTAAAGCATACCCTTTTGGGTTTTGCAAATGGAAAGAATTACAAAATACTTTACTTCTCAGGGGATCACCTAAATTTCAGTTTTCCTGGAGCATTAGCCTTGTAAAAATGATTTTTCCCCCCACAGTTTCGCCCTTTCGGCATAGGCCAAATCAAGTAAAATAATAAATGTGAATATGCTTTATGAAGGTAAAAGTGCTAGACTGGTGGTGGGGGTCAATATCAGACTCACCTTGGGACCTTCACTAAACTACGTATGTGCTCAACTCTTCTGACGTGATTCCTACCCTCCCTCTCCCATTCTGATTAAGAGTGTCCGGGGAGGAGCAACAACTGTGCAGTTTGAAAGAGTTTGTTAATGGTGATGCTACAGCCCATTTCCTGCCTGCATTCCAGTTGCACATCACTGTGCTTATATTTATGACTTAAAATTTTATCACAGTTTTTGAGAAGTACACTTTATTATACTTGGTTTTTAAGCTGAGCGTCAGGGTGGTGACATGAGCTGACATTTCTGGCCATTGGCTGGGTGATTTGAGGCAGCCTAGGAAACAACCTTGGCTCCAGGGAGTTCTGGTGGCCTTGGGGCAAAAGTAAATCTGTCAGAGTGGAACATTCATGTGTAGGATTCAGGGGGGATTTTTTAAACGTTAAAAATTCTGTTTTCCTCTTTATTTGCTTTCCTGCCTCTCACCCCATCCCTCAGTTAACACATTTTATTTGCCAATAGGTCACAGAAGTTAGAAAGACTTCCTCAGGCCTGGTGCTCTCCGTGGCTACTAAAGTTCCTGGTGGGGAGCACACCTCGAGCTCCATTCCAGGTGTTGACTGCCTGCTCTGGGCCATTGGGCGGGACCCGAATTCCAGGGACCTGAATTTAAACGCACTGGTAAGCTGATCTAGTCTGCCTAAAACGTTCTTGAAGCTGTTAGTGGTCCTGTGGTTCCCCACACCCCCCGACACCCAAAACTTGGGTGGGTACCGTTGGATTCTTTTCTGTTTATTCGATGTGTTACTCAACCAGGTCTGTTTTGCCTGTTGCATAGAAAGCCAATCACCTAAACAACGAGTTTGCAAAGAGAAAGGGTTTTAATCACAAGGCAGCCAAGCAAGGAGGCAGGAGAAAAAGTCTCAAATCTGCCTCCCCCAAAAATGGGCATTAGGGATATTTATGGGGCAGGGGGCAAAGTGGTCTGAAGTGTGAGGATGGGTGATGGGAGGTAAGAAGTGAGGGAACTGATGACCTGTGCAGGCGTAGTCAAGCTTCATGGCCCTTCATAGGAGGCATGTTCACAAAATGGTGGTGTTAGCATGATCCGAGGGTGGGGCTTTCAGCCCTTTAACATCAAGAGGGTCACTTCTCAGGTGTTTGCACAGGCCTGGTTGATGGGTTGGTGGTCTCAACTGGCCTAAACTGGCCAAGAGGGGTCCTAATTCCTGAAAAACAGTTCAAACATCCATTACCATGGTGACCCAGGCACCAGGGAGATGTTATCTATAGGAACCTAGTGGGAGTCAGATAGTATATTATGTAAGCAGCACAGTTAACAATGAGTGGGCAAACTAAAAGTTATAATTAATAATTGCAAAAAAACACTTCAGTTACGCCACCTAATCATTAATGGCTAACTGTTCCCTGATTTCACGTGACCAGTTTGTCATCAGATCCCATTGCTTCTTCCTTTGAAATTAAAAAAAATTTCTTTTCCCTTTCTAGTGTCATCACTCTAGATCAGGTCCCTGCCACCTCTAATCTAGATTGTCCAGGAGTTTCCTGACTAGCCTCGCCTCCTTATAGATTTCCTTGTTGCCATGATACCTGTGTCTTTAAAGCCCTATAATTATTCCTTACTGCCTGCAGCTCTAATCCCGATTGGTGGGTGTGTAACTCGTTCTGGACAGTGTGGCACTCAGGGATGGGAACACATGTGATGCTCATCTACCAGTGCTATAATTAGCATTCTTATTTGTCCTTTTAAATTTCGAAGAAAAGTCTGGGATGGCAGCTTGGGCATGGGTCCCAGAGTTTGACCCAATTTTGAACTTTAGTTCTATTACTTGTCAGCTGCATGGCCTTAAGCAGCTTAATTACTCTTAAGTTTCAATTGCTTCATAAATATGGGAATAAAAATAGTACTTGCCTCATTGGATTATAGAGAAGAGTGAATGAAAAAATCCCAAGTAATTCGCTTAGATGCTGGTTTATAGTATAAACTCCACAAATGTTAACCAGCTGCTGTTGATGATAATGGTGATTTTTCTGATTTGCTATACTACTTTACAAGTAATAATAGAATATTTTATGTTTGAGATTTATATATTTGATGGAGCTTCTTAAGCAGTGTGTAACATTTTGATTTATGTTCTAATATTAATATCTGTTATAATGTGGATTCCTGTTTCATTTGTATAAAAGATGTTTTTCAGCATTTAAAAAAAAATATCCATGGGGCCGGCCCTGTGGCATAGTGGTTCAGTTTGGCACACTCCACTTCAGCAACCCAGGTTCACAGGTTCAGATCCCAGGCTCGGACCTACACCACTCGTCAGCCATGCTGTGGCATCGACTCACATACAAAATAGAGGAAGCTTGGCACAGATGTTAGCTCAGGGTGAATCTTCCTCGGAAAAAAAAATATATAAATATATATCCAGGGAGATTTTATTTGTTTTTAATCTTACCGTTCAGTGAAATTTAGTAAAACTAGTTGTCTATTTTCATATTAAAACTAGTTATCCAGCTTTTCAGCTTTCAAGAGATATTTTGCCACTGTACAGATACAGGGATTGGTAGGTCCAGTTTTCAACTATATTCGCTGAATTTTTACAAAATGAGGCAAAATTTTTCAGTCTCATTCAATGTTAGGATATATTTATATAATGCAGATTGAATGATTACCTTGTATAGGTCTTGTCAGCATGTTACTAACCTAATTTAATCTTGCCAACAACTCTTTGAGGGGTAAAGATTAGGAAACCAGGGACACAGAGATAATAGATAATTCACCAGGCTGTAAACTCCGTGGGGTAAGGAGGATATCTGTATTACCTACCATTGTATTCTCAGTGACTAACTTAATACCTCATTTGTACTAGAAGCTCAAATACTTGTTGACAAATAGGTAATTATACAAGGTCTCGTAATTAGCAAGTGGCGAGGCTGGTATTTGAACCCACGTCTATCTGGTTCCAAAGGGTGTACTGGTAACCACTGTGTTACCTACTTCCTACTTCTGCTGTCTGTCTACTTGTCACATGAGAGTATATACACTTGGAATCTGCAAAGCCACAAGCTAAGCATGACACACCCTCTTGGAGCAAAAATTTGATTTGATATATAGGAAAAAAAGTTGGTTAAAGGAAACGAGTATTTTTTTAGAGTAGAATGCAAAATTGACTTGGATTTTTTAAGATAAAATGGTAAGCTTCAAAGAAATCTGCTTTTGATGACTGCTTTAGGCTGTGCCCCTCTAAGGGATGTTAGCCTGCTTCAGGAGGAGTGTTTCAGTGGGAAAAGTTGAAAAGCATTGTCTTAGGTGGACTCCACAGGGATAGCAAGTAGCACAGTGACATCGAGTGATTCCTTTTCCTGTTTACCTGGCCACTTGAATTGTACATTGCAAAGTCAAATCCTGTTAAAACATCTCAAAATTGGATAAAATATTTACCTTTTAAATTAAGCAAAAGATATAAAAACTTGCCAACTTGCTAAGTTGTTTTTCGTCTTTCGGTTGAGTCTTGTGGTTTCTTAGAGATTCAGGCTGACGAGGTGCCTGAAATGAGGTAGAAGAGATTTGATCTGCCGTTTTTTGTAGATAGGCCAAATATTTACATGATATCCTGTCACAATTTTAGGGGATCCAAACTGATGACAGAGGTCATATCATAGTAGATGAATTCCAGAATACTAATGTAAAAGGTGTCTACGCAGTTGGGGACGTGTGTGGAAAAGCTCTCCTTACTCCAGGTAATGTTTCTTGTGTTCTTATGTGTTGTATACAACTGTTCACCTCTTCACAGTCAAATCAGCTTAAGCGAAGTTAAAGGGATGAGTGTAAAAATGGTAAAAATGTATTAAAACAGATGTTGGTTGGGTACCTGACATTTTCTGAATAAAATTCATTTTTCCTTAAAAGACTTAAAAAAATGCTTAGTGAAGACTGAAATTTTTACGTGGATGATACGGTCACCCTCTGAAGAACACTATAAGTTAGAATCCGAGTTGTGTGTGGTGGCAGTGGAAGGAAGTGGCTTTGGAAAGAAGTAATGTAGAGTGACATTTTTATGTGACTATTTAATCTTTTTTTTTTTTTTTTTTAAGATTTTATTTATTTATTTTTTTCCCCCCCAAAGCCCCAGTAGATAGTTGTATGTCACAGCTGCACAGCCTTCTAGTTGCCGTATGTGGGACGCGGCCTCAGCATGGCCGGAGAAGCGGTGCGTCGGTGCGCGCCCGGGATCCGAACCCGGGCCGCCAGCAGGGGAGCGCATGCACTTAACCGCTAAGCCACGGGGCCGGCCCAGTGACTATTTAATCTTGATACAACCAAGATTGATTCCTGTCTTGCACACTGCGCCCCACCTCGACGCCCCCCCGCCTCCCCCACCTCAGGCCTGCTTCCTGAGTTAACTGGCACTGGCACCGTTTCAAGCTCTTTGTCCCACTTCCCTCTATTAACGACATCACTCTGTACCCGTCTGGGACCTCACCAATCTTTCCAAAATGGCCCGGGTCTTACCTCAGAATGGAAACTTACCCCAGTCACATACCCAAAGCCTTTTAGCTTCTTTAGGAAGTTCTCTTAACAAAAGCAAAATAACAAGCCAAGTTTCAAAAACTTTATAACATAATCTAACAATTAAAATTATATCAAAGTGAGGAAAATTTCTTATGTATCCTACTGATACCCTATTTTGGAAAAAAAAAAACCCTGTCAATTTGAAACCAGTAAAATTAATAGCTGGTGCTTTTACTGAACTCAGGCATTTTTTCTAAAAGACTGTTAGGAATAAAAATAGGCAAGGGGAGTAAACTTTAAAAATATAATAAGAGGGGCCAGTCTGGTGGCATAGTGGTTAAGTACGCGTGCTCCACTGTGGTGGCCCAGGGTTTGGATCCTAGGCGTGCATGATGCACCACTTGTCAAGCCATGCTGTGGCAGCATCCCATATGAAGTGGAGGAAGACGGGCATGGATGGATAGCCCAGGGCCAGTCTTCCTCAGCAAAAAGAGGAGGATTGGTGACAGATGTTAGCTCAGGGCTAATCTTCCTCCCCCGCACCAAAAAAAAAATATATATATATAAAATAAGAAATAAAAATAATTAAAAAGATAGACTTAAGGGCCAGCCCCGTGGTATAACAGTTAAGTGCGTGCGCTCTGCTGCTGGCAGCCCAGGTTTGGATCCCAGGCGCACACCGATGCACCGCTTGTCAGGCCGTGCTGTGGTGGCGTCCCACATAAAGTGGAGCAAGATGGGCACAGATGTTAGCTCAGGGCCAATCTTCCTCAGCAAAAACAAAAAAAAAGAGAGAAAGATTGGCATGCATGTTAGCTCAGGGCTGATTTTCCTCACAAAAAAAAAATAGACAAAAAAAATCTTAGCGTGAACTGAATGTGGTTATAAAGTAGAACTTAACATGCTCAAAACCAATATAATTTTCTCTGTAAATATTGTGTCAAAAAGCTGATATCCTCATTAAGTAGATAACTACTGCCAGATGGTTGGAAACTTGTAAATGTGTCCTTTTTTTTGTCATAGTAGAATGTACAAAATTCACATAAGCCGATAGTTTTGAATTGTTAGCTAAGGCAATGATACGTCTTCATTATATTGAACTAGATATTACAATGGGCATTGGAGTAAAACTTTGTCACAACTAGTATGTTAAGCTGGATGGATAAATGGTTAGTAGAACAATTCTCCTGTGTTAAAATGAGCAGTAAGCTAAACACTGATTTTAAAATATCTTTGTAGTTGCAATAGCTGCTGGCCGAAAACTTGCCCATAGACTTTTTGAATGCAAAGAAGATTCCAAATTAGACTATGACAACATCCCCACAGTGGTCTTCAGCCACCCACCTATTGGGACAGTGGGACTCACGGAAGGTAGGTATTTAAAAATGAAGGTCATTTATGGTTTCCTTCCCTCCCCTCAACTTTAGGTGTCTGTTGGCTGACTAAATCCATCTCAGCCCCCAGGTTACACTTCTTTTTGGTTGGCCTCTTATCACAGTTCCAACTTCCTCACCGACTGCTTATTCTTGGAGAGTGTAATTCCTTTTCCCACACCATCCTGTCTATCTCCTTGACTTTTTGTAGCTTTTTTATTTGAACTAATTTCAAATTTAAAGAAAAGTTGTAAAAATAGTACAAAAGACTTGTATACCCTTAACATTTTTGCTTTATTATTTTCTCTCTACACACACACACACACACACACACACTCTGCGGTATCTATTTCCTAAGAACAAGACTGTTTTCTAGAGAAACACAATGCAGTTTTCAAATGAGAACATTTAAATCAATACAAGATTATCTAAACTTTAGACCTCATTCAAATTTTGAATTATCTCAAATAATGTCATTTTTAACATTTTTTTCGCCAAGTCAAGGATTCAGTCCAGGGTAATGCATTGCATTTAGTTTTCATACCTCTTTGGTCTCCTTTAACGAGAGAGAAAATTCCTCAGGCTTTCTCTTGTTTCATGACACCGGCATTCATCTTGTAGAATGTCCCTCATTGTGATTTTGTTTGACCGGCATTCATCTTGTAGAATGTCCCTCACTGTGATTTTGTTTGCTATTTCCTCATGCTTTGGTTCAGGTTCTGTATTTCTGGCCATCTCTGTCTTTGATAGCTCAGTGGAATTGTTGAGGTTTTTGATAGATGCTTTTTTTTCTGTGCATTATAGATGAGGCCATTTATAAATATGGAAAAGAAAATGTGAAGATCTATTCAACCACCTTTACCCCAATGTATCATGCAGTTACCAAAAGGAAAACAAAATGTGTAATGAAAATGGTTTGTGCCAACAAAGAGGAAAAGGTATGGGAAAAATCCAGTAAACAAGAGAGTGTCTTTAAGGATGGCAGAGAGGGAGGGATTCTGGTGAGGTGAGGAGAGAGGAGACCAAGTAGGTAAGCCTTCTCTGATTCAACCGGGGCAGTCCCACTTTTATCTGTCTATATATAGTGCAGTGCTCCATAATATTTCATTTACAAAGAAGGTTCCACTGCTTTTAAAACATAAGAGGGAAAGGTTGAAAACCACAAAAAGCTCACTGTCGTTGACCAATAGCCCAGAATATATAGGCAACTCAGAAATATTGGTAAGTGTAAGAATTTAATGTAAGAGAAATTTAGATTTAACATAACCAATCAGTGAGGAAAAGGAAGTTTATTCAGTAAAACTTTCTGAGATAATCAATTACCTATTTTTGGTTAACATGTTGAGAAACTACCAAGCTGTTTTCCAAAGTGGCTGCACCATTTTGTGTTCCCCTCAGCAATGTATGAGGGTTCCGGTTCCTCCACATCCTCACCAATGCTTGTTATAGTCTTTTTTTTTTTTTTTTTGCTGAGGAAGGTTTGCCCTGAGCTAACATCTGTTGCCAATCTTCCTCTATTTTATATGTGAGCTGCCGCCACAGCATGGGTACTGATAGATGGCCTACATCACTGATAGAGTGGTGTAGGTCCACACCTGGGAACCAGACCTGAGCCGCTGAAGCAGAGCATGCAGAACTCAACCACTAGGCCACTGGGGCTGGCCCATTGTCTTTTTTATTACGGCCATCCTAGTGGATACAAAGTGGTATCTCATTGTGATTTTGGTTTGAATTTGAACAGGTTTTTTTAAAAAATAATTTTTGAAATAGATTTTGTTTTGGTATTTGGTCAGCCCGTTGAACCGTTTCTAAAAATTAAATTAGATATTAAAGGTGGAAATTAGCAATATACCGTGGGAACATGGCTCTGTGTGTGACAGTGGCTTAAATGAAGAGGGAGATGTAGTTTCCGACTTGTCCTATCAAGAAGGGCATAGTCTGTATCTGATTCTGTGGCCGTGTACACCAAAAGCCACAGGACATGGTCCTTGGCTTACAGAAATCAGTGTCACTGACGATTGACAGAAGCAGAGAATCAGCAAAGAGAAGAAAGTAAGTAGATGGACAGCAAAACAAAGGTTGCTGTCTCTTGGCCCTGAATGTTCCTCAGTAGCCTAAGATTTCCAGATATTGAATCTGTAAGGTTCCTGCTTATCTCTTCATATCAGTTATTTCTTCATACCAGTTATCATTCATTCATTTGATAAACATTACCTGACAGTACACTAAAGACTAAGAACTGGATATGGAAAGGAATAATATAAAGTTCCTGCCATCACCAGAGGCTCTTTGTAAATTCAATTTAGATCACCGTATCTAAAAATCTGGCTGCGTTTAATGTATATGCAGTATGTAATTTGGGATTATTTTGTTTTAAATTGAGGTGTACTTTTTTTTTTTTTCCAGTGAGGAAGATCAGCCCTGAGCTAACATCCATGCCAATCCTCTTTTTTTTGTTGTTGTTTTTTTTGCTGAGGAAGACTGGCACTGAGCTAACATCTGTGCTGATCTTCCTCCACTTTATGTGGGACGCCGCCACAGCACAGCCTGACAAGCAGTGCGTCGGTGTGCGCCCGGGATCCGAACCCGGGCCGCCAGCTTCGAAGCGCATGCACTTAACCACTACACCATGAGGCCGGCCCCTGGATGTAATTTTTTTTTAATTGTAAAAAACACATTATGTAAAATTTAGCATCTTAACCATTTTTAAGTGTACTGTTCAGTAGTATTAAGTATATTCTTGATTTGTTTTTGTTTATGTTTTTGTTTTGCTTTGTTTTTGAGGAAGATTGGTCCTGAGCTAACATCTGTTGCCCATCTTCCTCCTTTTTTCCTTTTTTCTCCCCAAAGCCCCAGTAGATAGTTGTATGTCATAGTTGTACATCCTTCTAGTTGCAACTATGTGGGACGCTGCCTCAGCATGGCTTGATGAGCGGTGCGTAGGTCCGAGCCCAAGATCCGAACCAGCAAACCCTGGGCCACCAAAGTGGAGCACGCAAACTTAACTGCTATGTCACCGGGCAGGCCCCTTGATTTGTTTTTAAACAAAATATTTTTGTAGCTAAGTTTTCTGTTCTCTAACTTTGTTTTTCAATGGACTATTTACCCTAAAAGTCTTTGCTGAAGGTGAACATTAACTAATAGTTTAAAAATATATCAAGAAACCTCACTGGAAAATGTGATTTGACACAAATGCCTCCTTTACAGTCTTTCACACAGTCATCCAGCATGTTATGGACTGAGTGCCTCCTAAGGACCATCTTTGTGCTCGGCCGTACAGATAGAGTGGGGAGCAAAAGCAGGCAAGGTCCCTTCCTTCTAGAGGGTAAAGTCTGCTGGGAAGGATGGACTGTAATTGTCCAGTCCCCAAATAAGTACAAATTGCAGTGTGATAGAACCATGAGGGAGAAATATTGGCACTGAGAGATTCACATGATAGACAGTTTAACTTGGTCGGAAAGGCAGGTATAGCTATCTAAGGAATGAATGGGCTTTAACTCTTAAAAGAGGGGAGGAAAGATTGTCCAGACAGAGGGAACAACTTGTGCAAAGGAAAGAATGTGATAAATACTTAGGACAGAAGGAAAGCTGGCGAGGCTAGAGTGAGGAGAGTCTGAGGGGTTGCTGTGTGAGATGGGCTGGAGAGGGACATCGAGGCAGGACTATACCGGGCCATGTAGGCTGTGTTATGCCATATTAGGATAGAGGTGTAAGTTTTTTAGAGGTTTTAAAATATCGGGTATCTCTTATGGCTAATAAAAAATTTGTTAGTGCACCTAATAAAAAAATTTTACTTTAAGAAATTTTTCTGTTTTTTTTCCCAGGTGGTTGGGATCCATATGCAGGGCATTGGGTGTGATGAAATGCTGCAGGGTTTTGCTGTGGCAGTGAAAATGGGAGCAACAAAAGCCGACTTTGATAATACGGTTGCTATTCACCCTACCTCTGCAGAAGAATTGGTCACGCTTCGTTGAGAACCCAGAGACTCGTATGGCTGGCAGCTGGACCAGTAGATCTTCTGAGATGAACCAAATAGTCACATTTACTTACGTTCCCATTTTATGTATTGCTTTATTGTAATTAGGACCTTCTGATAGTGGACATGTTCAGTAAATAGTAGAACTTATTTATGGAATTGGAAATTTGTTTTGTTATCCAATGTTGATGTTCATTTGATCACATCTCACAATAGTTACTATTTTTAAGTTTTTATTAACATCTCTGTGCTAGCTGGTTTTTCGTTTTATTCTTTTTTGTTTTTGTTTCAGCCTCATCCCAAGTATAAAACTATATGAAATATAGTTAAATTAATGTACTTGAATAAATACAGCTTGTTAATTTTTATAGAGGAAGATGACAGCAGCTCTTCACATTTAAATAATGCAAGTGCACAGAATCTTTTTTTTTTTTTGAATCCAGTACTGTGCTCTGCATATTGTCAAGCTGCTTCAAGGATGTGACCTTTCTCTGAAAGCATATAACATGACAGGCCTGCCTCCCTTATTTTATTCTTTCTTTTAAGTGATTAAAAATTGTGTGTGTTACTTTTATGAGATGAGGTACGTCAAACTCGGGAAAGATTTGAGGAGGCTGGTTATATAAGTGAGGAACATTTTAGAAGTGATTCCTGCTTTCAGGAGAGGCACTCAAACACTTCAGAAGTCCCTTCCTCTGCTAAGAGTTCATAGTTCAATGAATGATTTCAATTTTTGTGTGTTCTTGTCATTTTATTTTTTCTGAAAATTTCTGAAATACTTCCAAAAATTTGAAAATAAAATCACAGCCTTTTCTTCTTATAAAATTTGTTGTTATGAATTTATGGGTAACAGTTTATTTTCTAAGAATATTTCACGTTGGGGGATCAGATGCCAACACTGAGCTGCCTTAAGTAGGTATAAGGCCTTATGGGGAAGAAAAGAGATTTCTCTTTTATAAATAAAGACAAGAGGTATAAAAGAAACATTTAACAAATTTAATGAAGAACAGTCTAGAAATCACTTAAGTTTTTAGTATTTTATTTCCATTAGCTTTTACCAGCTAGGTAAGTGAGTTAAACTTTTCCATGGCTTTCATTGGTGACGTAGTGCTACTGAATTCTTTCATTAAGCTTTTACTGAATGTCTTTCTGGTTGGCCGTGGCCAGGTTGCTGCACTGACTTTTTAAGTAGGTCCAATGTCAACGAAAGAAAAACACATGTTAGTAACTAGGTCATGTAACTGTTACAGCAAGAAAATAGGGCCTGAAAACCTGGACGTGGACCAACATAACCACTCCCCCTTCTTCTCTGCCAGCCTAAAAGGTAGTGGGCCAAGGTTGTGAGCTCCACTGACCTGGTGGGTTTCTCACTCTGCATAGGGCCCAAACTTGGAGTGTGACTCTGTAAGGAAAAGGGGAGGCCCCAGTAGTCACATGTACTCTGATACCATGTATTTTTTGTCTCATATCCTTTGAGATACCCACCTGTCTCTGGTTCTATAGTAACCCAATGTGGAAGTAACCTTTCCAAGTGGCAATCTTCATTTTCATCAGTCCTCAAGTCAGTCCAGCCTGTGAGGTGGTCTGGCCAACCAGCCTCCACTCCACAGAGCACTGGGGAAGGTAAAGATATACAAGGCAGCACCTTGTACAAAATCTGGCACATTGTAGCTGCTCAGTAGACATTTATTGAAGGAAAGATGTGGTACTTGCTTTCAAGTAACCATATTGTCTAGAATAAGAAAATTCTACACAACTGCAATTCAAAGCAATGTGTTAAGCAAAGGGTGACTATTTGATTTATTGACTAAAATGGGACACTTTGGGGAATGAAAGAGGGCACTGTTAATTGGGACAATAGACACAAATTTGACTTGCAGGAACATGGGAGAGTGCCACCCTAGTTGGGCATTATTAGGTGGAAGTATACAAGTTCAGAGGAGGCAGAAAGGGCCATTTTGCTGGGAAGACTGAAAAAGGCTTTGAGAAAGAAAGGTTATGTAGGATTTGGAATTTGAGGATTGTGGAGTTGAAGGTCAGGACATGGGGAAGGTACAGTGAGGCAAGTTGGGCAAAGTGTACATGAGAAATGATAGCGTTCAATTTGGCTGGAGCGTAAGAATGCAAATAACATTTTGTGTGAATGTGGAATGTTCTTCCCCACTTGTTTACCTGATGATCTGGTTGTGTATTGCTGCATAACAAACTACCTGAAAACTTAGTGACTTAAAACAGCAACCATTTTATTATATCTCATGATTTTGTGGGTCAGGAATTGGAGCAAGACTCTGCTTGCAAGGATGACTCTTCTCTTGGTGTTGACAAAGATCATTTGGTGGTATTCAACTGTGTCTTGACATGAGTACAGCCATGTTTGGCCGTTCCATGAACCTACAGCCACCAGCACACGAAGAAATATAAAACTGCTTTCTATGTGGTGGGAACTGGCCCTTCTCCCATAGAGATAGTTGCAAATGGTAACATTACAAGGCTCTTTGGGCATTGTAGCTCGGGACGGACTGGCCATCTGTGCCGGGCTGGGACAATAGCCGGGGGGGGCTCAATGCACCTACGCCACTGATAACCATTTGTGCTAAATGCTTGCTCTGCAAACTCTAACTGCTTGCTCTGGAGATTACTGATGCTATACAAACTGCTGGAAACTGAGGCCTGGTGAGAGTCTCACTTGGGGAGGGGACGTCTTGCCCAGGACCTCTGATGATTGGACTCCTGCCTAGCCATGTCAATTGAAAGGACTCTCCCCGGCGCAGGGAAGTGGATGTTGTGAGTAACGGATCTGATGTGTTCTCTTTTTGGTCAACCTGGTGTTTCTCTTTCCAGTTGATTTGTCTTACTTCCTTTCAGTCGATTTTGTGTTTCCCTTTCCAGTTGATCTGATATTTTTCCCTCTTATTATATGACCTATTCGGATCTGCTTCTATCTCGGTCGATCTGGTTTTCCCTTTCCGATCGATTCGGGTCATTTCCCTCTTGTTATTTGACCTATTCGAATCTGTTTGCGGACTATCGCCTTTACTCTCCTCTATATAATAAAATATACCTTCAGTCCATTTGTGTGGAGTGGAAAGTTTCTTTTACATCTCCGATTGAATCCACCGAACCTCAAAACAAGCTGGTAGATGGGCTGGTCTGGAGGGTCTAAAACAGAGTTATTTACATGTCTGGCACTTAGGCAAAGATGACTGGAAGGCTGGCCCCAGCTGGGATTGTCAACCCGAGTGCCTGGATGTGGCCTCTCCAGCAGGGTAATGGACTTACACGGAAGCTCCCAGATACTGTTCCAAGATTCCCAGGCAGATGCTGCAAGCTTTATGACTTAACCTCAGAAGTTCTAGAATGTCACTTCTGCCACATGTTATTGGTTAAGCAAGTCACTAAGGCCAGCTCAGATTTAAGAGGAAGTGAATTGGACTTCATCTCTCAGTGGGAGGAGTGGTAAAGAATTTGTGGCCATCTTTAGTCACCCGCACCTGACAATCTACTCATTTTACAAGGTTTGACTAAAACTATCTTTATAAAGACTTCTTTAATAGTTTTATGTATTTTGTGTTCTCATAATACCTTCTCACATAGTAGGTCTACACTGCATGTTCACCTCGTGTATGTCATTTTACACTTAATGTCAATCATTCCTATATTCTCTATGTTGTGTTTCACAGTATCATTCCTGGTATGTTGTGCAGCAACTTCAGCTGCAAGAGGGCAAATGTGTGTTACTGTGATTTTTTGACCCTAAGATCTATAGTAGAAAAGAGCCAACATTTTAATCCTTTGCTGTTATGAAAAATGAGTAGGCAGGATTTTCATGTCTTCCACAAAGATTCCCTTTCTGTGAATCTGACCTGATTATAGATGAAGAGCTGTTAGATGTGATACAGAAGACTGTTTCTATTGTGCCCTACTCTGAGAGATGCTCATTTATTGCCATTGCCTTTGATACAATAATTTAGTGTGTTATTCTTCAATAAAGATCAGAGTCAGCATTTTAAAGGTAAGAATGATTATGTATAGTCATTTCTATTTTTTATGTAGTATATTTTAAGTGCTGTTTAATGTGTTAGAGGGCAGTGTTAAAAGGTAAAAAGTGTTGGATGGTAGGGCTGGGGTTATATGTAGATTTTACATAAATTTTTATGGAAATAATTCCCCTTTTAAGTCCTTTCTCTGTAAGGTGTAGTAGCAGACATTTGTCCTTTTTGGCTGTTCAGCATCCAGACTCTGTAAGTTTGAGGAATCCCAACCTTATGAGCCTTGGTAAGAGATAAAGCCCATCTCCCTACATAGAACCCAAAAATGCCAGATGCATGCTTTCCCAGGCTCCCTTGCGGCTAGAGAGAAGGCACATGACATAGGCTTGGCCAATCAGATGCACCCACCCGTGGCTACCCAGAAACCAGTGATGCAAAGAAACAGGGATGGGAGAATCCATTCTAGTGGCTATGGCAACAATGTCAATGGTCAGCCTGGCAACAGTACCAGCGCCTGCCATGTCAGTTTCTAGCTGTGGTGACTAGAACGCTGTGGCAGCAATGGTGACCTCACTGGCTGATTTCTGAGTCACGGTTTTGGCCACCGTGGCTCTGGCTGCCTAACCTCTGAGCCTGGATCACCAGCCCTCCCAAGGTTCTGTGAGCTACGCTACATAGGATATATCCATTCTACTTAAATTAGTCCAGGTCAGTTTCCAATGTTTAACTAAGAACTGAGAGTGATACAGTTTTATTTTCCTAAAGCATAACTTTGAATTACAAAAAAGCTTATCCGTCCATTATAGCACTTGTTGCATTAAGTGTTTGTCCATGTATCTGTTCCTTTGTTCTTTTCAAAGACAGGGAGCATGCTCTACACGTCTTTGTGCTGTACATTCTCACTGTTTACCTCAGTGCCCCACACTGGTGAATTGAATGACTAGGAGTAGTGGAAGATGACACTGGAAAATGAGATTGTTGTTTGGAGAGGATCTTGATAAGTGGATTTGAGAAGATTGGTGATGAGGAAACATTGAAGATTGTTAAAGGAGGAAATGCCATCTAAGCGGGACTGGAAGATTGAAGTGGAAATAGCAAAAAGTGGAGAGTAGGATGGGAGATCAGACATGAGGCTGAGAGGGAATAAAGGGCCTGGACTAGGGTGGTGGCAGCGGGAATGGGAAGGGACAAGTGCAAGAAAATTTTCAAAGAAGGAATCAACAGAATTTGTGATCTGATTGAATTTAGGGCTTGAGGGAAAGGGAGGAGTCAAAACTAGCCCTGAAGTTTCCAGCATGATGGACTGGAAGAAAGATAACACCATTAATAGAAAGACCGTTAATAAAATACCCAGATGGGTGGAGAAACTGGCGTAAAGGAGGCAAATGCTAAGTTTTGGACATGGTGAGTTTGTGGTCCCAGTAGGGATCTGGGGATAAAAAAGCTGGAGTTTAGGAGAAAAGTCAGGACTAGGAAGACAGATTTGTGAATCTCGAGGTCATATTCAAAGTCACGAGCGTGTATCTATATGACCTTTAGAGCAAGAAGGAGTGAGAAGAGGCCAGAGCGTCAATAATGCCCACATTTTTTTTTTTTTTTAAAGATTTTATTTATTTATTTTTCCCTCCAAAGCCCCAGTAGATAGTTGTATGTCATAGCTGCACATCCTTCTAGTTGCTGTATGTGGGACGCGGCCTCAGCATGGCCGGAGAAGCGGTGCATCGGTGTGCGCCCGGGATCCGAACCCGGGCCGCCAGCAGCAGAGTGCACGCACTTAACCGCTAAGCCACGGGGCCAGCCCAATGCCCACATTTAAAATGTGGATAAAGCG